CAATTTATATGACTCGTCAAAGAATAGTTATAATATGCTAGTTGTATATTAGTAACAAATAAACTTTATTTAATAATAACTATTTCAATTCTAAATATTAATCTTATGCTTATATCAACATTTAAGTTCAAGCATAAGAAACCTAATATTTTTCTTTATGAATGATAACAAGTTATACTTATTGTATAAAAACATATACTTTGTAAAATATTTAGGTTAAAATGCTAAAAAAACAAGAGTTATATTTTCTCTTCAATAAATTACACATTAAAAGTTTATGTATTTATATACGTTTTAAAAAATTGTATACTACATTACTCAAAATTTTTTTTTTTTATGTATATATTTCTTATATTTACACTAGAAACTTATATTAAAATAATATAAGGTTGGCTTGTGATCATGGAGAAATTTAAATTATATTATATTATTTTAATGTAGGAAGAAATTTCAGGTGATAAAAGAATAAATATGATAATAAATTTAGTGTAAGCTCTAGATTTCAAATACTATTTATTCTCAAGTTTTTTCATTTCATTAATATACCAAAATGTAAATCTTGCTTAATTGAAACTAATTTTAAATCATTAAATTTTTTATTTTTATTAATATTTGGCTGTTTTGAGATAACTTCATTCCAATATCATATTTTCCATTTTCAAAAAAAATGTGTTTATATTCAATAAATTTAACAATAAGAAACGTGAAATTTTCAAGAGGTCCTATTACAATAGTTTATTTATAATAAATCATTATTGAAGATAAAGAAAAGTTGTCGCACTGATGTTCACTACAAGTCAGTATAACCTTAAACCATTAAACCGGCTGAACGAATTATTACACTATTATACGCAAAGTTCTATCAAAAGGGTCGAGGATTAGGGTGAAAACGTTGCATGAGGGAGAAACCCCGATGTAGTTCTATACTAGACTTGGGAAAACCGTCAAAATTGGAAAAAACGAACTTACCTTCTGATAGTTCCAGTTCAAGCTCTGCAAGCTTTTCTCGAACGTCTTCAGGTAACCGAGTAAAGTCCACGTTCAGTTCGGCCATCCCTGCTGCTGTCGATCTTCTTAATTACAGCAGGCAACGGCAACAGCTCTTCTACAATAGTACTGATAAGAGGTCAGATCGTATTTTGGATAGATTACCTGAACACAATCGGAAGATATTGTGATAAGGCAGCGCACGCACACTCGATTCAAACGCACACACACACACGTTTATGCCTGAACGACGATATTGTTAATTTTGTTAAGCGAGAAACACGACCCGTTATTCATGCTAAACATGACGGTCGTCGTTAAATTATGAAAAAAATATTTAATACGTTTGATTTAATGAATGTATAAATGTACAAATGCAATGCGATTGATATTATACTACTACCGCCACCGTTGTTATTATTATCGTCACGGGGGGAGAGAAAATTGTGGCGCGGTACACAAGCCGCATCGATACGCACGCACACACTGGCTAGTAAACGCGAGCCAGGGTCGCCCGTCATCCGTAATACCACCACCGCTGCCGCTGGCTATCGCCCCAGCAACCTTTGGTGGGGTTACCGGCTGACGGTTTACAGCTGCCGTAACTACACTTACTCATTTTACCAATAGAGTGCGCCTCTTATAAATATTTTTGGCTTTGTATATTTTCATGAATATAGAATTATTCAACACACACGTAGAATTATGGGCATTTGAAGGCTTAGCATTCACAAAATTAAAACAAAATTTTATAATATATTGATATTGATATATTTAAAGGATAGTTAAATTTTTCTCTTTAAAAAAATATAGTGCCACTCATATATATCTTAACTTTTATATTACACAGCAATAAAACAACATTCTTATAAGTAGTCTGAATACTAATAGTGGTATACTTAAGGAGCAATGATGGCCATTTTACTTGGAAACATGTTTAATGGACGATATTTTATGAGTAACTCATCTCTATCTTTATATTTTGTAGAAATAAAGGTCTCTCTATAAGTTAAATTCGACCAACTGTTATTATTAAGAGTATATGCATAAGCGTAGAGTGGTCAAATTTGGGAGAGCTAAATTTAATTTTATATCTTATAAAAAATGATTATTAAATAATAATACATTCTTTTGTAAAATTCATAGTTCTATGAATAGTTATGAAAATAAAATCACGTCTTATATTAAAACATGTATAACTCAAATTTGTTTTTTAATCATTCTGAAAACCTAAAAAACTGAGATATTAAGTTGCAGTATAAACGACGGTACATAACGAAATAATACATGTACGAAGTAGATAAACTTAATTCTCTTTTTATTTATTAATAAATCAGTTGTCAATATTGGCGCAATTAGGAGGGTACTAACTAACTCCTACTTAGCACCTCCAAGCAAATTTCGCTATTCTTTTAAAATTTAATTCCTTAAGAAATTAAGTTTAAATAATAATATTATTATTTTTTAATAATTACTGTTTTTTTTTTTTAAATCTTGTCTTTTGATATTGTGATTGTATAATACATAGATAAAGTGTGTGTATTTCAGAGGCGGATTGTCAACGGGGGCAAAGGGAAAATTTCTCCATGGACTGCCATCTATAGAATGACGAGGACCACAATGAGTAGCGGTTGGCTATATCTAACAAAGAATTATGTTCAATTATATATAAATATTTTATTATCTTTGCATTTTTTGATAATTTGCATTAATAAGGGTTGGTTTGGGTATATTCTGAGTAAATTGGATTTTAAATGTTATATATATATAATTCTTTATTTATATATAAATAACAAGAAATTGGAAGATATCATTTCGAGCAGAGCAAAAAAAAATTTGCTTGGTCTTAAAAATTTAAATACTTCCAAATTCAAAACATTATATGCGTTTATGGTAGTAGGATAAAGCAAGGCAAAATAGGACGCTTGAATTTTCAACATCAAGTACTGAAAATTATCAAAATGTTCCTTCTTTTTATAGTAGTACAAAAATAGACATTTTTATTTCCTAAATAATTACCTAAATTCATAAATTTTGATTAAAGTTTTAGAAATGTTTTTTTTTTATGTAAAATACTGCTAACAATTTTCATCATTATCTATATTGAAAAGTCATGTTATTTTTATTTGGGATAACATCCAGGTTTTTAATTTTTAACAATAAAACTCGATCCTCTTAATTACCCCCCTGATCAGAGCTTAAAATTGTATATAAAAGGATGTAATCATCATAAAAAAATTTGAAAGACTATAAATCTACTATTTTTTTAGACAATGAACTTATTTGAAATTGAACAAATTATCATCCTACTACTTAAAGTTTATTTATTCATTTCATAAAGTAATAATTATTACTATAATTTAAAATTTATTAAACGCAGTAAAGCTTTTGTTTCCTTCCTGGTGTAGAATAAGTTGAAATATAACATAATATTCTAGTACAACTACTTTTAGACAACGAGATTACTATACCTTAGTTACATTTTGCTTATTTTTACCTTACTATACAACTAGATGATTCATCTCACATATAAATTTCTAAGTGAATCATCGACACATTCAAGGTGGTAGAAAAATTTATATTACATTAAAATATATATTTTTTATTATATTTAAATAGAATTTATTGGACAATAAAGCTGATGTTTGTTTGAAATTTTATTGCTTAAAATAAAAATAATTTTAACGATAATTGTTAAAATTATTAAATTATAATTAAAATTAATATATAATTATATAAACTATAATTGTTAAAATTAAGGGCTTGATGTACCAACCAAATAAATCCAAATACCCACAAAATAATTTTTTGCTAAATTTTTATTTTTTTTCTGGGTAATTCAGTATAAAAATGAGATCTATATTCTTTTATATATGAAGATATTTAATTTAGGAAAAAAAAATATACCATTGTTTTTAATAGAAAATTTTTTATGAAATTGCTTCTTTTGAAAAATTGAAAAGTAAATTTATCTGGTTATTGCACCACGTTCTTTAATTACAATTCAAAAATAATATACAATATATTTCATTAATAGATTACTGTAATTGATTTTATTTTTAAGTGTAATAATAATTATATAAGGTTACATCATACATTATAAATTTGTTTTATATAAATAATCAGACAGTCAAACTATAATTTTTTTTTTTATTACTTTTAAATAGTAAATATTAGTTATTAATGAAAAATTAAATGATCTATGTAAGTATGAAGAGCATATATTACACAATACTGAGTGGATGAGATACTATGTAAAAATTGATAATACACTCTAATGTTTAATGAGTTATCTGAAATATTTTATGAAAGCCACTACAAGATCGTATAATTTTGAAAATTTAAGCTTACATTTTAATTTATTATTAATACTACTAAATCTTCCAAATGTACAATCAGCAACTATTAATCTTCATTTATTAAAAATTTATCATTTATGACTAATATTATTTAAAACTAATGAATATTTAGCTCAAAAAGTCATAAAAAATCACTAAAAGTATGTGTTTACTATTGATGATAGTAACATTACGTATTCACAATTTCATAATATTGTTTGGTTTTAAATGAATATTTTTCATTTATTAATCTTCGTTATTTGTAAGCACCCGTTGCGTACTTAGAAATTTGTCAAGAATATCCAGATAATTTTTATAACTTTAAGCGATGGGAAAGCTTTGCTTCTCTCGTTACTCTTATTTCCTGTAAGTTCTAATAGTTAATAGTATTGATTTCAAAATGCGATACTTGGCTGTTTTTTTGCTTATTTAATGATATTTTTTAAATAAAAGGTTATTAAACCGATCTCTATGGTCAGATACCCCTACATTATCCGGCGGAAGACACGTGTGTTTTTGACATAGCAGTAAGAAAAATTTCAGAAAACCGTAGTTGGGTGGCGACGGCTCGGCGGACGTTGACGTGGCTCTCTTCTTCTCGTCCATATACAAAAACCGCTATAAAAGGATGTATAGAAACCCGTGAGGAGGTAGGGATACTAGTTGGCTGGCGTACATAATGTTTATGTACAGTCTGTGGCGTTCGATCGCCTCTAGCGCTCCCGCGGACCAGACATCGCCGTATAGCCTACTGGTCGTCTGCTCCAAGTTGTCATTGTGTGAGTCCACGCGGTCAATCGATAACGTAAGCCGCCGGACCGGCGCGCTCCATCATCTTTGTTATCACAACGTTATCACTACAGTAAGTACCAGTTTCCATATCTCGCCGTTTATTTTTTACTATATCTTCAATAACTCTATTTTAAAGGGTTAATAATGCTTTTAAAGATAACATACTTGTAATATTATTTCGCGTAACTACGTGGCAACTCTTGATTAGAACTGTGTTATATTAGGAAATAATAAGTATTTGAAAACTCCTTAACTGTGTATTTTCTTTTAGAAATTTAAGTTGTTGACAGAATCATTATAGAAATTTAATAAACTAATGATTTTTTCATTTAAATTTGTTAACGAATACAATATTGATAGTTCTATGAAATCACATAAATAAAAATAATATAGCGAGTCTAAATGAAAATTTATGTGAGAGAGTCTATTATACTTCTATAATATCAACTTTTTTATAAAAACAATATAACTATCAAAATCTTTATTATGAATCTATAAAAGGACGTTCATAACTCACTATTCACATTACCCAATAAGTTTAATATACTGGGGTGCGATAGCGTATGAATAAATTTTGGTATATATACTATTTTGTAATGATTAGATTATGTAATTTGCAATCTATTTGTTCTTGACGAACCCAAATACTAGATATTTTTTTTATTAAGAGAAAAATTATTAAAATTATGTGTTAAATTATAAATTCTATTTAGCCTTTCCACTAAGATTTTATTTTTTGTCTAATGATAACAATTTAATTAAATAGCTATATGGTGTACTAATAAAAATGATATTATTGAGCCATTAAAATTCAGTCATTAACCCTAATCTATTTCGCATATTATGGTGATATTTAATGATTTAATGATTTATCTACTAGAATATTTTCTAGAGGTATTCGTATTATTATTATTTAAGATACAAAGTCATAAATGTTCACTACATGGTAGAAATTTTATAGTTGATATAAAAACCACATTAAAAATGTCACATTTGAGACTAATAAAATCATTTAAAAAACTACAGATATTATTAATCTTGCATATTGTTTATTTTATCATATTGTTATTAAAAATTGTTTAAGGTTTTAAAAAGAAAGACTTACCAAATATTTTTGATCTCATATTAATCTATTTGATAAGCAAAAATTCATATATTTTTATTTTTATGATCTCGAAAATTATAAAACACAAATTAATTTAAAACTTATTATATTTCAATGTTCTATTATTATTGAAAAGTGTTTAAATATCTAAAATACATTATAAAATCGTATTTTTTAAATTATTTATTTCTTAATTCAAAAATTAAAAATGTGCCAGTAGAGTTTTTAAAAACATGTTATTTGATCATAATTTCATATTATAATAAAGTATAGTATTATATTATATTTATGAAAACTTATTTAAACTTTTCAAAAAATATTTGACTATTGATTGATTTAAAAAAAAGTTTAAAATATTAGCATCTTCATTACTCCATATTATTTATTATTAAGGTGTTCTAACATTTTCGATTCACTCGTCTTCAAACTTCCGTCATTCACTTATAAATACACCATCTAAACAAATTAATTTTGATAGTTAAATGACTAATTGGTAGGTTACACAAATACACAATTATAAATATAGAAATGTATTAAATTATAGGCAGTCTTTATTTTGAAAAATAATTTTATTATATTAAATATAACAGATGATGAATTTTATCATCTGTTATTTTTATTAATCAAACATGAGTGTGCGCACTTCAAAATTTTAAAGAGTAGTAGCCTTAACTTATTATCGTTACCATCAGGATTGTTAAAATATATGTTTAAAAAGTAAAACTCCTGGTTATTACTGTGCGTTAGTAATCGGGGAGAATAAATACAAAAAATAGAATTCAATATCAATTGTTCTTTTCCCTAAAATAATTAGCCATCATCTATTTTAAATTCTTACTAGATAGGTATACTCTGACATTTTCAGCCTTACTTCTTCCAAATACGTAACTCACTTATGAATGCACTCTTTCTTTTTAAATTTGTTTCATGAACATATCATATGGTTAACGACCCGATCATTCGGTTGTTTTCCGTACTATAAGTTGGATCTTCTCAGAGGTCGATTTTTCTTTTACAATTATTTTTAGTATACTCTTACAACTTCTTGTATGACTTATATTTATTTATTTTTCTGTTATTGATAGGAGGTTAACATTTTTTTCATTTATCTTGGCGTTTTCTTTAACATAAAGAATGTTCTGAATATAAAGAAACAGGTCAATTGTTACAAATAAGAGAATAATAGAAATTAATTTTCTTACTTACTGTTTCACCATATTTTCATATCATTAATAACTTTGTTACAGTCAATATTTTGCACAAAAGAAAACTAAATCTTTTAATGGTAAATATTAATTATTATAGGTATGTAACTTTTATAAAATCCATAAAATTTATCTACGCTTGAATGAACGTTTGTTATAGAACTTAAAAATTCGAGTAGTAATTTTACCTAGAGAACCTAAATAATAATTAAAATGTTATCTTAGCTCTTCAATACTACATTTATTATAAGAACTCTTTGGTATTAATTTATTACAAGTCAATGATAATTTAACTAAGTCTGCTTGAAATTACGAAAATATCTTTGAGTTGTTGTTATTGAATACATTTTGATAACATTTAATTAACTAGAATTATGCGAGATTATTGAAGATATAATGATATTATAATTTTAATATAAAAAATATTTTGTTATTAATAATAATTAATCCTATGTTAAATTGCCGTAAATTTTTCAGTTATGCCAATTTTTAAAATAATTATATTTATAATAACAAATTAAATTTACCTTAAAATTTTCTATAAAAATAAAGATGTATTTCTTTAAAATTCGAACGATTTATTTATTATTATTAAAAAAGAGTACAGCTTAATTTTTAGTTTTTATTTCAATTACTAACGTAATGCAGAAAATATTAAAATTACAAATGAGTGTATTTTTTTTTTTTTTTTAATAACATTGTAGAGTAGTTTTAGTTATTATTGAGGTGGACATCATGCCCATGCACTCTGACCTATTGGTCAATTGTGCACACCTTATTATATTATCTTGATTCGGTTTACACACCTAAGTGTTATCGCCGAAGAATTATTACATTTTACTTATCATTGTATAGGGGTTTTGAATTCACCCCTGTGGATAACCAAAGACTCCTGTCTTTACATCGTAGAGTATAACTAATATTTTATATATTCTGCATATATTTTATGCTTTCTGTTGAAAAATAACTTTTATGGTCATAATTAATATTAAAATTGTTTAAAATTGAAACATAATGATTGAACAGTAAATTCTAAAAGTAATTTTTAATAATATAAATGAAAGCTATTTCTGACAAATATTTACAATTAATAGTAGAAATTTGAATGTAAATACTTATCAAGCAATACTTTTGCTTGAACAAATTATAGAATATAGAGCAAAAGTTATAATTTTAAAATTTAACATTTTAAAAATTATTACAATAATAATTTTTGATATTATAAAACTTTCAGTCATTGTAATTTCCAAGTATTTTTCGTTGTAAATAATTTAATTTTGTTTTGAGAAAAAAAAAACTATAATTTTATAGGATACTTTTTTTTTTTTTAGAATTATCAATTATCAATTATATATTATATTATTATTATATATAATAATTATAAAAAAATTTTTATATATCTATGTTCTGTTTTGAATGGTTAAATTTTATATTGTAAGATTTTCTGAAAATATATTTAAACTAACATTATAATGAAATATTAAAAAAAAGAAAAGTTAATTGCTGTTATACTATACATTTTACTGGATGAAATGTACTTATTTAACAACAATTACCTTAAAATACTGTCAATCGACCAATAAGTAATATTTTATAATTAGGTTTCTGCTTAAAACTAAAAATTGTGCTTCAGCAGATTATTGTGAAATAAAACTTATAGAGCAAATAAAGAACCATCTATAACAATATTTTCCGGATTTTTACGGTTAGGAGTTTTATTTTTCGAATTTATACGGCCTGGAATTGTACAGTCCGGCTTTTAATGTTTTCGTTATTATACAGTTCCAGTAATATACGTCCTGAAAATATTTTTTCTGGTAAATTTTCCGCCCATTTTTTTCCGTATAAATACTTCTTCCCTGTTTAACTAGCTTATAAAATAGAAAACAACTTTTGGACAGCCATTCGGAAATTATTAGCATTTTAAAATATAGACGGGTGGTAAAGTGCAGTTGATGTTACTTTTATCATTAGCCATTTGATCTTTCGTCTAGGTATAAAAATTAGAATAACTTCTATAATAAGTGGTTATCTACCTGTCATTTTCTTAATTATATTATTTTCTATTTTATAAACTGATAAATCAAAAAATATATGTATCTAAGAATAAAATTTGAAAATAATTAAAAATATTTTTCAACAATGAATTTATTTTGTGAATAATCAATTGGTTTATAATAAACCAATCATTCTGTATAAGTTAATTGTTAACATATTTATATGCACATTTATTTAGAATCTGTGATATAAATACAACAATATCTTAATGGACGTCACAAAGAGTGTCTTGAAAATTTTTTTTTGTAAATTTTGATATGAGTTTTAACAAAATATTATTTAATATTAAGATCCGTCAAAGTATCACTTTACCAACTTTCCCATTAGTAGCACAACTGAATGTCAATGACTTTGTAGAGGCATCAATCCTCTACAAAAAGACAAATTAACATAGTTATACAAAATCTAAAAAATTATTAGATTTATATAAAACTTGTCTGACTACTTTGGTTGCTATGACTCATTATTAGTTTTCATAATTCTTAAATGTACAGATTTTACAGTTCAGAAAAATCGAGTATGCTGTTCTACTTATAAAATATAAATTATTATTAGTTACTTGATTATGATTTATCAACAAAATTATACCAGTCTCTTTTTATCTTTTTTCGTTTCCGACACAACATGGTTAATTTTATTCGTTCTTCTGTTATTATCATTGTTCAGCACAATCCTTTCCATTTATTGTTTAAAAAAATACTAGAAAAAATCACTATTATACGTGTAACATCATTGTTAAGTCTTAAATTACTGACTACCATATGAAAATGTCGGAAGCAGTAATTTAAAATACGATTGTTTCAATATGTTTCATTTCAAGAAAGTCAAGGTTATTCACAGCCCGTGTAAAGCAGAGTATATAAGCCATGTAACGATGATTTTTCCATTCATTTTTATAAATTAGTTGAGTCGGAGAAAAGTTAAATTATACTAACTTACTACGAACATACGAGCAATTTTTTTTGTGAGTACAAACGTCGACTAAATGTAATTTTGCTGATTTTCGTTTATTACCTTCTAATAATACATACATCTAATTTTATGCTACATAAGCTACCTCTAAGGTATTTTATTGTTACTTTAATAACAGAAACTTTATTAGTATTTAATTGTTAAGAGTATTAATACTATTAACAAAATTAAATATCAAGTATTGAAACGTTTAACTATTATATGAGAATTGTGTTAAATTATTAATCTTCAATTTAATTTTACATGATAATTTGATGATACATAGGTTTTTTCTTTAAATTTTCTATTTTATTTATACATTAATGTTAATCTATTAAAAATTATATTTACTTTAACTTGTATTATATACGTTTAAATAGTTTTTAGATAGAAACGTCAGTATGACAGTAAAAAATATATGCTGTATTGGTGCAGGATATGTCGGTGGTCCAACATGCAGCGTTCTTGCAATGCAATGTCCGCACATAAAGGTCACCGTCGTAGATATAAGTACTCACCGTATAGCTCAATGGAACTCAAATAAATTACCTATTTATGAAGTAAAAATTAAAGAATATTATGACATAAGGTTTTTATATATTTTTTATTTAAATATTTTATAACAATTTTCTTTCCTAAAGCCTGAGCTTAATGAAATTGTACAGAAACAAAGAAACGTGAATTTATTTTTTTCAACTGATATAGAAACAGCAATCAAAGAAGCAGATTTAATATTCATTTCAGTCAACACACCTACAAAAACATTTGGAGTAGGAAAAGTAAGAGTAAAATTAAATTTAAGAAAAAACTATAATATTAGTTTTTGTGACAGTGGTTATAAAATATTTTAGTTGATATACTGTTTGCTGTTTATACATCGACATTTTTCAGTAGCTCAATTTTTATAAATATAGATGATGTATATAAAGCGAAAAGTTAACATATTAATTGTAATTATACTTCTTGTACAAGGCAATTTCTCGATTTTTTTCTTGAAGACATTCCGTTAAGAATGAGGAACGAGTTTGTTGCATTTGTTTTAGCTTTAATGTAAAACTGAGAAGATAATTTTAATATACTACGATTTTTTCTGTATACCGCTACAAATTACTCAACCGAAATCAATCAACTTTAAGTCAAAAATATAAATTATATTTATTTGAATAAATTACTCCCAATAATACAAACATTTCCCTATATATATCATATATTAAAAAGCACATATTGTTCAATAATTTTAATTATTTTTGGTCATCATATTTCCAGGGTCGAGCAGCTGATTTAACTTATGTTGAAAATTGCGCCCGAATTATAGCTAAGGTGTCAACTAGTGATAAAATAGTCGTAGAAAAAAGTACAGTACCTGTACGAGCTGCCGAAAGTATTTTGAAAATTTTAAGGGCAAATCATAAACCACAAGTGAAATTTCAAGTAATACTAGCACAAAAATTTTATTTTTTAAATATTTTAATTACTATAAATATTTATAGGTACTATCAAATCCTGAATTTTTATCTGAGGGTACTGCTGTTGAAAACTTGAAAAACCCTGATCGTGTTCTAATAGGTCATGAACAAACCCCTGAAGGATTTGAAGCTTTCAAAGAATTAAGTAAAGTTTATCTTAATTGGGTACCTGAAAAAAATATATTAAGAACAAACACATGGTCTTCAGAACTTACTAAACTAGTTAGTCGTGGGAAGATTTTGGTTATTAGACTTTGTTTGCTAATTAAAAAATTTTAATAGGCTGCTAATGCATTCCTGGCACAACGAATATCTAGTATTAACTCTATGTCAGTAATATGTGAAGCAACTGGCGCAGATGTCAGTGAAGTTGCTAGAGGAATAGGCTTGGACTCAAGAATTGGAAACAAGTTTTTACAATCATCAGTGGGTAAGTATAAACATTATGTTTTTATCCTATCAATATACAAATAAATATATTTAATTTTGAAGGATTTGGTGGAAGTTGTTTTCAAAAAGACTTACTTAATTTGGTTTACATTTGTGAGACCTTAAAACTACCTCAAGTTGCAACTTATTGGCAACAAGTAAATATGAATGTGACAAATTATAGTCTAAAATTGATTTAGTTTTATTTTTTATTTTGTGTTATTCATTTATTTTAGGTACTTTTAATGAATGATTACCAGAAATCTCGATTTGCAAATAAGATAGTCGAATCATTATTTAATACTGTGACTGACAAGAGAATTACATTATTTGGATTTGCATTTAAAAAAAATACAGGTGATACACGTGAATCACCATCTATATATGTTGCTAGAATATTGCTTGATGAAGGAGCTAAGCTTAATATCTATGATCCAAAGGTAAATTATTTTGCTATAATTTCTAAGATAATTAAAAATATTAATCAATAAATTCAATAATTCTATTTTTTAATGATTTCTTAAGAAATAAAATATATTTTTTATAAATGACATAAATATGATTTCATATAATCGTCTATTGTATTTTGCATAAAAATAAGGGTTTCTCTTAGAAAAGTTTCAAATTGTTGTTTTCAAAATTAAATTTTAATACCAATGTAGCCAAAGAGCTGAAAAATGACTGAAAGAAATTAAAAAAAGTTTCAACTACCTATGTCCCAACACACAGTCTCCTAATCAAATCTTGTCACCCATCAAAATTCAAAAGAACAATAGATTTTATAATTTAAAATTCTTAAACATTTATTTGAAATATTATATTATATATTTTTTTAAATAATTATACATTCTGCATTTTTAGTGAATTCATTGTTTAACATACATTTTAAAGATCAAGATAATTGGAGTTTAATTATAATCATTTTAGTTTTTTCTTTTATTGAAAAAATATGTAAAATACATTTTAGGTAGAACCTGAACAAATTCAAAGAGATTTAACTAGTACACTTGTCACTGAGAATCCAGAAACTGTTTTAAAATCGATTAAAATTTTCAATGATCCATATTTAGCAACAAAAAATACACATGCAATTGTAGTGTGCACTGAATGGGATGAATTTAATGTAAGTAAGAATAATGGGGACTTTATTGGGAATAAATATAAAAAAATGATATTATGTCTTTAATTTGGATTTTATGTATTATCAACAAGAATATCGACCTCAGAAAAAAAAATTAAAACAGACAACAAAATTAAACATGTATAGTTTTATTTCACTAATTAATTTGACAATATATAAATAAATAAATTTATAATATCATTAGATTTGTCATAATTTTTGGCAATAGGTTATTTGTTGTTTTCTTTTTTTATTAATTTTATTAATAAATGTGGTAGTATTAATTATATATTACATAAAATCATATTCAAAATTTTATTTGAATTGATATGCAATTATAAGTTTTGCTTTCATATTTTAATTTAATATTTGTTTTTAAAAGATGATATTATAAATATTATTATATATTTTAGAAATACGATTACAAATTGATTCATGATACAATGATGAAACCAGCATTTATATTTGATGGACGCAAAATTCTCAATCATGAACAACTTACTGAAATAGGTTTTCAAGTGCATACAATTGGTAGACGTTGAAAAAGAAGCTCTCTATATTCACAAACATTTTAAGCATAATGTTTTATTCCACTAACAAATTTTACATTAGTATATTAAAAAGTCATAATTATTGTAATGTAATTGTATAAAAATATGGGTACAACATTTAATCATATAAGTATAATATAGATATTTTGACTTCTATTGAAATTTTTTTAAAAGTCAAGAAATAACTTATTTAATTAGGTATTATTTAATTTAAGTATCTATTTATTAAAAATTCATTTTCAATTTATTATTTTTATTATTGATTTTGATAATTTATATTAAAACTTAAGGTATGTTAACAATTTATTTTATATTTTTTAATAAAAAATCATTGCAGAAGTATAAAATACATTGATCAACCATAAGTGCATTACTTTTCTACACTTTCAATTGTAATCATACAACCAGTGGACTTCTTTGAGATATGGACATGAAATACTTATAATAATGTTTGGCTTATTATTATTTATCTGTGTATAACCAAATAAATTGATGTATTCCATGTATACTTAAGGAAGAAAATTAATTAATGAAAAAAAATTGATATGATAAACTGTTATTTTCAAACCCCGAATGCTTGGAATAATGATTTGATTTTCAAAAATAATAACAAAGAAAGTTAATAAATTTTAATATTGTCATTGAAAATCTTTTGATCAATACATTTTTCTATTAGAGCTATTAAAAAATTGAAAAAACAGACAATTTTTCATAGAACAATCTTCAAGATTAATTTACTTTTTAATATTGTAGTACATTTCAACAGATTTATTTTGATATAGGATAAAAGTTGTCAGACGTTCTAGAACATTTTCAAAAGTTAAATTTTATGTAGTAATTATGTGTAATTTAAATTTCGACATCAATTTTGTTTGATTTGGGTTATGTGGAAGGTTATTTAATTCTAATTGACTGACTAGTTGATTTAAATTTTTAATGAAATCGTTTATAGTATACTATAAACAATTTATGACAATATGACATCATCATTACTTGGTGAAATTATGATTATTAGAATTAACCAGCCAAAATTAAAGAATACTTGTAAATATATAAAAGTATAAATAGTTTTGTTAAATGATTCTATTGTTTATTATCTTGAATAAAAAAATTTGGTCGTAAAGTAGTTAGTCAATCTAAACTTGATGATAAAATATTAAATTTTATTATTGAAGAAACTCAAGCTTTACGTATTGTGGATAAGCCATCATTTGTGGAACTTGTTAAATTAGGCCTTCCATAAACATTAATTGTTATGTGTTCAAAAACATTAAAATTGAGAATTACAAATGAATTTCAACCTATGAAAAATAAATTGATTTAGACATTTAGTTTGATTGCAAATTTTTCAACTACAGCAGATTATTGGATACAAGGAAAACGAAGTTACATTGGAATAACTTTTCACTATATCGATGAGAAAACTTTAGAAAGAAAGGGTGTTACGTTAGCATGCTTAAGAATAGTTGGTCAGCACACTGGCGTACGCTAGGAGGGGAATTTGGGGGTTGAACCTCCCTCCAATTTATAAGCTAAGTGACAATTTTTGACGATAAAGAATAGGCAATAACAATAAAAAAGATCATATCATACTATAAATATTTCCACAATAAAGTAATCGAAAACAGGAATTTTTGTGAGCGAACAATATGGGCATCTAATTTTATTTAAATTTCAAAAAACCTCACCTAAATTTAATTTCTATGTATGCCACTAGGTCAGCATACATATGACGTCTTGCCTAAATTTTTTTGAAATTTATCAAGATTTTAAAATTCAGAATAAAGTGTTGTCATGTTCAACTGATAATGAATCAAACGTCGTAAAGTCATTTGTCGAATTTTATGATACTACTGAGCTTGAAAATGAAGGTATGGAATTTATATCAGTTTTTGATATTTTGAACAATATTCAAGATAATAATGATGATATTGAAAATATTAGTTTACCTACACATAGAAGATGTGCAAGTCACACTTTAAATTTAATTGCAACCTCTGATGTTAAAAAATTTATTTATGACTTTAAAATAAAATCTGGTATGACTGAAAAAGAGAAAAAAAAAATTAATCGTAAAACTATTGCAAAAATTACTAATCTGTGAAGCAAACAAAATCAGTTTTACATTGTATCAGAAAAAATTCATAAACAAATAGATGTTTTTTTGAAATCTACCCACACTCACTGGAATGGGTTTTATGATGGACTGTTACAGCTAAAAAATGTTAATAAAAGTCATGGTATTGAAAAGTCAGCTAATAAATTTGATTTTTGTTTTTTAATACGCCCTGAGCATAATGAAATTACATTTATTGATGAATATGTTGAAATTATGACACCAATTGCTGAATCTCTTGACTTTTTACAAAGTGAAAAAAATATGTTCATGGGATATTTACTTCTAACTTTATACTAAATCAATAAAAAATTTAAAAAACTCATTTCCAAAATTCATACTATATGTGATCCATTGTTAGAAATTGTCAGGTTTGCTGTTACAAAGTTAATTTATAAAATAAACATATTCACTTATTAAATAAATATAGTAATTCATTAACATAGGTTTTGATATTAATATATATTTTTTAGATCTGTCTGAGAAGATAAAGAATTAATAATCGCAGCATACTTGATTCCAAGATTTAAATTAAATTGGTTGAATCATTCAGATAAAAAAAAATTAAACCTGACTAGCAATTAAATGATTTTTTAGAGTCCCCTAATCATGGTTTATCTTGCTTACATAATTATCCCAATGTACTAAAAGCTTTAATGCGTTTTAATGTTGGTTTGCCATCAAGTGCTCCAGTTAAACGTTTATTTAGTAGCAGGTTCTATATTAGTTTCTAAACATCAGCGACTAAGCGATAGTATGTTTGAAATGCTTTTATTATTAAAACAAAATAAATATTTAAAAAATTAAAAAACAAAATTGTTTTTATGTATGTATATATATTTATATTGTTTTGATTCGATGATTTATTAATAAAATATTTACTAGCATAAAACTTGTTTATTAAATTATAAAATTATTTTTATCGTAACTAACCTCTTCCAAAAATTAGGTGATAATATATTTTTGTCAAAAAACCTTTCTGAGGCTCAATTATAATAAAAAAAAAATTGAATGCATTCAAAATTTTTGATGAATGTGAATGTGAATATATTCTTTATTTTTTTAAGGTATTGTGAATAGGAATGTATTACTTTTTTTAGCTGCGGAATAGGAATTGGAATGCATTACTTAATAAAAGGAATTTTACATACACTGGCTATTTAGGGGTTAAACCTAAATGACCGTCAACAGTATTCTGAGGATCAGCGGGACATATCTGTCTTGGTTAAATCTATATTAGGTACTGAGGTTTCCTATTTAATTTATATTCTCTTAGAGGAATTACTTAGGGTACCATTACAATAATATATATATATATATATATATATATATATACAGGTGATTGAAATCTGGTAAGACACTTATTTTTTCAGAAACTATTGATTATTTAAAATGTTTGTAAAAAGAAAAATTATTAAGTTTATAAAACTACAATAATATGAAGTTAAATGAATTTTTTTTTATCCCTTCAGAGATAAAAATGTTTATTTCTAATTTTTTTAAATGGGAACCACTATTTTTGATTTGATAATATGATAGAAAAAAAAATTACAAACAATTTTGTTTTTTTAATTTTTTTTATCCGAACAACCGTTTACATTTTGTAATTGTTTAAAGATTTTGACTTCCGGAAAAAATATTGTTATTTATTAAGTTTCATAATATCGGTGGCAGTGCAACCGGCATTTTTGTTAGATCCCTTTAGTCTTACAAAACCATAGACTTAGCTATTAATAATACAACAAAAACCCGGTTTGCATCTATTATTGTTATCATTCATTTAGTGTGTAGCACATTTTTATAGCTAATTTACCTATCATAACTTGATCAATAAAATTTGGCTTATACAATAGCAAATAAAAATAATGACTTCTGTCTTTAATACAGAAAATGACAATAGAAATTTGGCCTAAAATCACTTAACTTTAACAAGCTGTAACGAACGAACGGTTAATCGGATAAAAAAAAATTATAAGAACAAAATTGTTTGTAATTTTTTTTTCTATCATATTAAAAAGTTCAAAATAAATATAGTTTAAAAAAACTAAAAAAAACACGCTTTTAAAGCACATCTAACTTTAAAATTAAAAATAATTTTTATAATAAGCTTTAAAGAATAATGTACGAAAAGTACTAGTATTATTGTGATAAAAGCGTCGGGCGCTCAATATACGAAAAATATGGCATAAAGCATCCACGCTTTTTTCATTATAATACTAGTATTTTTCGTTTATTATTGTTTTAAGCTTATTTTATTTCACAATAATACTAGTATTTTTTGTTAATTATTATTTTAAGATTATTTTAAAAATTATTTTTAACTTTTTAGTTTGATGTGCTTTAGAAGCGTGTTTTTTTTAAATTTTTTTAAACTATATTTATTTTTTACTTTTTAGTTTCATGTTATGATAGTAGTTACTATCAATATCACGGTTGTAAAGGGGTAACGGAAAATCAGGGTTCGATTCCGGAGTGGGAGTCTGAGAAACGGCTACCACATCCAAGGAAAGCAGCAAGCGCGCTACGTGGAAGTAGTGACGAAAAATGACAATACGGCAATCATTCGCCGTAATCGGAATAAATACACTATATATCTCTTAATGAGAATAAAGCGTATTAATATATAAGTTTTAATAGTAATTAAAAAATATATATATATACATGTAAAGCGACTTAAGTACGTAAACGTATCATGTACGAGGTATAGCAGTGTTTTGTGGACTGGCGTGGCGGGGGGAACGTTATACACGAGGTATATACGGCGGCTGCTGTAGGAATATATAAATGAATATTAACATATACGTATATACGTATAAATATAAATATATATATATATGTATATTAATATTAGCGGTGGCGGTAGGAATATATGATCTTCGCATAATATCGCGGCACTGTCGCTGACGTCGACGACGCGATGTCCGGCGTGATCCTCGGGCGTCAAAAGGTTAGCAGCGTAAATGACGACGGTGCGCGAGTGCGGATTGGTTTGTTGACGTCATCACTTTGACAATGGGAAGAAGACTACGGTATCATTAGCGGCGGGACGTCGTCGGCTGTGCGGCACTAGCTGGATTTTGCACCGCGGCGTATAACGCGCGGTGTTGGTCAGTCAAATACTCATAAAATAGAGCGACGGCTGATAAAGGTGGCACGACTCGTGGGACATCGTGTATAACAAAACGACGCGGGGCCGTGTCAATTACAATAAAAATATGTTATATATATATATATATATAATTAATGACACGCACGCGTATACGGGTACGAAAACCAAAAATAAAATTATACAGGAAAATTGTGTTAGTGGCGAGTGGTGAGCGGGTTGGGGTGAATGCGTTACGACAGTCTAGTCTCAAGGTCATACACGACGGGATACGCGACATAATAACACGTGCCGCGTGGAGTTACAAACTACAAACAAACATACATGTGAACTAATATAAGCGTATTAATAAGGGTTACCATTTAAGAAAATTATAAATAAGGATTTTTATCCTTGAAAGGACGAAAAAAATAATGGTTTGACTGCATATTACTGTAGAGTTTTTTGAACTTGATATTTTTTCTCTTTAATAAAATTTAAAATTCCCAATATTTACTGAGAAAATGAGTGTCTTACCAGATTTCAATCACTCTGTATATATAACACTCTTAGTTAACAACGATATTTACCAACGAAATATTAAATAAGCAATACAATCTGCTGGACACTTAGAGATAATACTAATCCAACAGGGAGCTGATGGCGACACACACACCCACATTATCTCGGTGGTAGCTAATATCTTAGACAATAAGAGTAATAGTCTTGATGATGATAAAAAGTCAACTAGTATTAGAGACACTCGTATTATGGCATGGTGGCCGTGAATCCTAAACGTGTTTTTGTGCATTCTGCCCTCCTATAGTAATACGCGCGTCACTGGTATTAGTGGTACAATGATGTTATGGGATATGAGCTCATATATGTGATCGTATCACTTGTTATCATAACGCGTGGCTGCTCAGTAAATGGATGTCAGATGAATAATTCCATTTCAACATTATATTTAATTTAATTTTTGTTAACATATATTTTTATCGTATTAAAATATATTTTCGATTTCCGAAAAAGAAAATATCAAAACCCTAAAACACTAAAGGAGTATTTTTGGAATGTAAAAAAGAAACGATTGTTATTGAGTATTCAGAGTAGTGAAAAAATTAAAAACTGTAAATAGGGCGACTAAGTAAAACCACTGGACTTTCTCTATAACATTAAATTTTTAATTATAATTAAAATAATTATTTTAGAAAAAGGGTAAAAAAAATTATTTAAAACGTTATAATAACGATAAACAAGATACAATGAAAAGTTTTAAATACCAAACTTTAAATATATCAGTAAGAAAACTTTTAATGAAACTAAATTATTAAACAAAACAAAATGTGTTAAAATTTATTTATAACATAACGCGAAAAAAAATTTTTATTTCAAGGCTCAAATTGTCTACAATAATCAAATATGTTATTTAAAATTGAATTTTCAGTAATCAAATACGTGTAGTAAGTAGCACTACAATAGTTTGCATAAGGTTTATTGTGATCAGGTCCATGTACGTAGTTCTCTATTATACTAACGAATTCGTTTGGAGTCATATAACCACTATTTATTTCATCCAGTAGTCCAACAGTACTATAAAATAAATTTGGTTCATCGATTCGATAATTTGGGTTTCTGTTAGTATATCCTAAGCAAATTAAAAATATTAGTTATATTATTTATTTTGAATAGATGGTGTATAAAATTTAATTACCCCATAAAATTTCATCCATAGAAATATTCAAACAATTATAGTGTTTTAAGCAATCATACAAAATATTCACTGCTGTATTAAATCGCAAAACCATCATAACTTCCATATGGTCAGTAGAGTCGAACTAAAAATATTTTTTTGAAGTAATATTAAGAGCAATGTAATGTAAATATTTATATTATAGTTTAATAAATATGTGATATGACAGAAAAGCCTGTTATTATTAAAAATCGAAGTAACTTGATTAAAATTGTACAGCCACTAGATACATATTAAAAAATATACCTAATAATAAAATCTACACCCAGAGAAAAACCTCTATCTATATAATAAATTCATTGTTCAATTTGATAAATATATCATTACTATTGAAACTATGATATATTTATCAATATGATAATTTTTTTTCTTGTCTTGAACAATAATTATTTATAAGAATAATTATTTTGTTCGTATTAATAAAACATTATCATAAACCCTTGATAAAATTTCTCTATCAAAATTGATTGAGGTTTTTCTTTGGGTGTACGTTTAAATAATAAAGCTTTATTTTTGCTTATAAATTAATAGAAAATTTATTTATTTTGAGTCAATATATGTACTTAAAGTGAGACAAAATAAACCAAAGTTCATTATAGTCGTCATATTTTTATAACATAATTTAGCAAATAAATGTGTTAGTGCTGAAAATCACAATGAAAATCTTTTGGCAACATCAACAAATTCCAATGAATTACAATTAAATCAAAGTGGAATCATACATATTTTATTATTAAATTATTTAATTTTTAATTAAAACAGTTATTCTTTTTAACTAGTAACTATAGTGCTCTAAAATATTTTATTGGATATATTTACATTCTTGTCACTTGGTTAGAAATTGACTTTTTAAATGTAATTATTGTCTTATTGAAATAATAATAAAAAACAGAGATATTTTAATTTTATTTGATTTTGTAATTATATACCTTGGGTTGTTCTACTGCAAATAATTTCTCGTGAAAAATAGCACAACAAATTTCAAGGTCTTCTGAATTATGTGATGCATCTAATTCTAATAATTCTAATAATTTGTCACTCGTTTCATTTAGTTCTATATTGCCGAGAATGATTTCATCCTTCAACTCAATTAATTGTTGATTAATTTTTTCTGTAAAATCATTATAAATTAGTATTCAAAAATTAATTATACATCTTATTAATTCATTAAAAAATTATCTGTACCATCCCTATAAATACTTTATTATTATTATATAGGTTATTTACAACTTTTAATATATTTAAATAAATTATTGTGAATTTTGATTTACGATGTGTATTTTTACATCGAATGATGCTGATGAACGTAAACTCGTTGTTTTGAGTATTTTGACCTTTAATACTGTGTGGATTGTTTTTTCCACAAGTCGCTTTAAAGATTTCTTGTTTTAACCCACATAGCAATGAAATATTTCTAGAATATTCACAGAATATTTTGAAATATTCTTACAATGTTTTCAAAATATACTTTGGCAGCGAATATAACATTTTCACAATATTTTAAAGGTATATTTCTAAAATATTATAAAAAAAATATTGTGACAATGTTTTATGAATATGTTTAAAAAATGCAAAAAACAACCTGCTTAGCGGTATTTGATCTACGTACTTTAAGTGCAAGAGCAATTAGCATAACCAACTGACCCATGGGTTACTACAACTGTATAAAGACCTCTCTTTGTAAGTTAGAAATTGGCCTATATTGTTGGTAATATAAAAATATATTCTAAATATAATAAAAAACTTTTTAGGATTTTAAGTTTCAAAGAAAAATAATAAGATATAATCGCACTGATAAAACTAAAACAATTTTAACTCAATAGGCCTGCAAATAATAGCAACAAGGGTTTTTAATGCCCCTCACTTACCCAGCTTAATTTAATTAGGTTAATTAAAATTGATACTAATTATAGAAGACGGTTGTTAACTTATTAATGATTTAGGAATATGTAATACATAATTATTATATAACTAGATACTAATAACATCCAAGGGAGGAACTAAAGGAAGGCAAGGAGATGGCTTGTCTCTCTTAATTTACCTACGTTGGCCAACAATATATATTTATAATATTTAAAAAATTATATTGATAATATTTTCTACAAACATTTTTAGTTAAATATTCCATATTTATTTTAAATAATATATTTTCATAATATTTATAAGAAAATATTTAAAAAGATATTTTTTAAGCACATTATAGAAATATTTTTAGTGTAATATTCTGTACTAGGCTCCGCCTAGCTGGGGCTCCGCCCCAGACCCGGGGCCCTTCGAGCCTTACGCGCCTTCGGCGCGTAAGCCTCTTCGGGCCGTCATCATAAGTAGGCCACTGATTCCGGTAGGGGTACCCCGGCACGATAAGTGTTTTTCAGAAAAAATATTACTTCAGAATCAGTGTAACAAAACTATATCTAAAAATGTTATTATTAAAAAAAGGAAAATTCAAAAAGAGAATATAGTAAAATGTATTGGGTATAAGGTTGACGCCTCTAAATAAGGTATTCCCTTTAGGCCTATTCAAAAATTATTTTAGGAGGATATTTAATATTTTTTACTTTGTTAAATATGTTATAGAAATTTTTTTGCTAAAATTAAAGTAATGATAAAAAAAAGGACATTAGGTCTTAATATATTAGAAGTTACCTAAAAAAATATTGATAGCACTGGTTCAAGGGAGACCCATATATCTCTTAAATACACCCCTGTTATACACAAAAATTATTAATAATCTAATTATAATAATTGTGTTTATATTATAGAATAAAAAAAAAAAATTTAGTAGGTCATTATACGTGGCACATTGTAAAAAATTTAATTTTGATAAATATATTGGTAACTGCGATTTAACGATGGACATCAGAGTAATCATAGATGAATCTCAATTCAAACGATAAACTCATAGTCTTATACATCTTATATGAGAAAAAAAATTATTAATACTCTACTTAGTACTGTTCTGATAATGAAAGTACAAACTTATATAATTATAACGTCTTGAAATTTATATAAACATAAAACAATCTTTGATAAAATATAGTGCAAATGCAAAATAGTGTCTTAATAATAAATATTGCACCATATATTTAAGGTTCATAATAAACGTATGAGCAGAGATGAATCACTGCGCATATTAAAACTATGCGCGTGGACTTAAAAAAAAAAAAAAAAGCTCGTAAAACGGTGAAAAGTGAACGGATTGGATTGATTTTTTTATCATATCTCAGCAATGTCATTGGGCTGGTCTGATGAAAATTTCAAACCTTAAGTCGTAAAACGCTGGCGTCAGCGAGCGTTTTTCTCGAAAACGGTCGAAATTTTAAAACGCTCGCGGGCGAGCGTCAAAAATTTTTCGACCTTCGCCAATAATTTTCCCGGAGTCTGGTGATCGAGTTCTTTCGTTGAAAAAAATTTTTTTGAAAATCCGAGAACGCTAAGTAATTTTCCCAGAAAAGCGTTTTTTTCCTTGTTCTATTATATAATAAGATTTATTCTTTTTAATGTATTCCCAAAATATACATATACAAATATTTAAAAAATTATTTTGTGAGCATATTATGAAAATATTTCAATAGAATATACTATTTATTTTATTTATGAGATATTGTTACAATATTTGCTTCAAAATATTTTAAAAAGTATTTTGTAATAATATTTTGACAATATTAATATCGAAATTGCTATGTGGGTAGTGTTGAAATCGATGATCCCTTGTTTTGCTCAAATATCTTTGTATAGTGTATATAAATCATATGTTCTTACAGCATTTTCAAGTTAATTACATTTACATTTGCATTAATACAAGCACGTATTTTTATTTAAATAATAAAGATGAAGTATAGTCGGAAAAAGTAATAATTAATAATAATAATTCAAACACAGAAATATGAGCAGCAAATATCACAAAGCGTATGACATGTTGTACGTTTAATTAACCAAACCTAACGATTAATAAGAGTTATTTAAGAGCAATGCGTGATTAGTACTGCTTCACAATACTCAATATGTAACACTTTTGCCAAGATTTTAAGCATTTACTCGAATAGTAAAGGCCCTTGAAAAGACTTTCAAATTAATATAAGGATTATTTGCAATTTGTTTTCTTATAAAATTAAGGCAACTATTAATATTATTATAAAATAAAAAATTTAAGTTTGCTTTACAATTTTAATAATTAACGTGTTTTGAATTATTCTAAATATACAAGTTACAAGTCCTACTCAAGTTTTGACACATTAAATAATTTTTGATCCAGCGAATATTTTGCATTATTTTTTGGTTCACTATAAAAACATCATTTTTATTATTTGTCTAATACAATAAAAATAACATTTATTTTTTATTTTTAGAAACTTCAAAATAGCCATATTTCTTTTTTACAAAAAAAAAATAAATAAAATGACGGGTTGATAACTGCTGACACGGTACTGCGACCCAACTCGTGCCACCTTTTTAAGTCTTCGCCCTACTACGTGCATATGGTAGAATGACTAATACGTAACGTTACAAAGTCCAGCAAGTGCCACACAATCGAAGACGACCTTTGTAAATATACGTTGTCATCTTCGTAATAAACGAATTCTCCAATAAAAGAGAATAAACTCTTTCAGTATCTTTCTTACTGTTTTCATACTTCTTTTGTACTACATACACACACCATCGAAATAACGTCTTTACTCTATTACATTGTGAATAATAATGTGAAAATAAAACATTTTATTTTAATTTCGTTCCTTATACAAGACAAATAAAAAAAATATATGATTTAACGCAGTTGAAAATTGTAAAATATAAAATTAAACAAAATATATTGTGGATCAAAAGTTATTAAAGATATGAGAACTGGTTGGACACTAATTATAAGGATTTTAGAGTTATTTGACTTTATTACCTCTTTCTATGTATATTAGTGCATTTAAATTAAATTGATTAATGCAATCATGAAATTCGTTTTGTGCCATTCCTAAATTTTTCCATGTTAATTCTTCAATAACTTCATCAAATGTGGTTTTGGCTGATGTTAAAAAAATTAGTCCCTATTAAAAAAAAAACAGTACATTATGATTTATGCATATTCATTGAAACCATATTCATTAAAATGTGACAAAAATTAACATCAATATCATAAAATGCTTCAATTCACACGCGATAAAGGGAGTTTGGAAAATTTTTGTTTTGAGAAAATTGATCTTCTGAAATACATATTTTATTACTTAGTAAAAAAATCTTCTATGAAATAATTTTTCACATTAAAATAATTTTAAACTTAACAATTTTTCATTAATCATAAGATTATTTTATGAAATTTGATCAATACAGGTATTATCAAATATTAGAAACAACATTTTTAGGAAATATGTCTTATGAAATTAACGTATAAAATTTTAATAAACTTTTATTGAAAAATAATAATAGTTGTCAGGATTTCTGGTAAATTTATAAAAAGGAATTAAAAAAAAATTAACCTAACCCAGAACTTTTTTATAATACTGTGTAAATTTAGTTATCCTCTGGAATCCAATAAAAATTTTGTCAATAGAAAAATTAAATACAAATGTATTAGCAAATATAATTTCAAGTATATCCATCCAAAAAAATAAATACTTTTTTTTGCTTAAAGAAATAGATTAATAAGCTTTTAATATTTATTCATTAAATTAATAAATAAGTTAAATTTCCAAACTAATAGAAATTACAAATGTTCAAATAATTGTGAAAATTATCACATTTGCATTAATGAGTTTTAGCTTCGATGCGAAGCTGAGAAGGTATTGGTTTTACTATGATGTGTTTTTTTTTTTTTTTTTTTTTTTTTTTTTTTTTTTTTTTTGTTTTTTTTTTTTTTTTTTGTGTCTGTTACCACTTTTTCTCAGCTCTCACCGAACGGATTTCTTTCAACGATACGTCAAAAGATCACAAATTGTATCTAGTCGAAGACATTACCCTTCAAAATTGAAAAAATTTCCCTCGTTCCCCGTAAATGGGGGAAACCTCCAAAAAAATTACAAATTTAAAAATCGCTAATTTTCGAAATTTTTTCAATTTTTTTTACTAAAAACTGCCGTAACTTTTTCAAAAATGAATATATCAATATAATTTTTTTTTATATAGATGCTTGATGTCTTTACCTATCATTTGGTATACTTTTTTTGTAAATTCAACCTTTTTTCTACCCACAGGGGGGGATTTAAAATGACAACTTTTTCACAAAAAATTAACTTTTTCAACTTAACTTTTGAAAATGTTCCGGAAGGTCTGACACTTTTATATATATCTTAAATTAAAGCTAATGTAATGTACTTTAATTTGAAAAAAAAAAATTTGACCTCTGGACTTGTCTTCATGGTGAAAACGGCTACCGAATGCAATTTTTGTGTGAAAATTTTCGATTTTATAATTTACATTTTTTACTTTAAAGTGCTATAACTTTTTAAAAAATGTATGGATCAATACAATTTTTTCATGAGAAGTAGTATTTATATACATCTTTCATTGGATATACTTTTTTTTAAAATCAGACTATTTCCCTATATATGGGGGGGCTTAAAATATAAAAAATGCATATAGAATGTAGAACTTTTTCAACTTAACTTTTGAAAATGTTCCGGAAGGTCTGACACTTTTATATATATCTTAAATTAAAGCTTATGTAATATCCTTTAATTTGAAAAAAAAAAATTTGACCTCTGGACTTGTCTTCGTGGTGAAAGTTGACATCAAAGTTAATAAAAAATTACGATTTTTGTAAAATAATTTTTTTTTATATTTTTAACTTAATAATCCTCTAACTTTTTCAAAAATGAACATATCAATATAATTCTTTTTTATATAGATGTTTGATGTCTTTACTTATCATTTGGTATATTTTTTTTGTAAATCTGACACTTAACCTGCCCACAGGGGGGGATTTAAAATGACAACTTTTTCACAAAAAATTAACTTTTTCAACTTAACTTTTGAAAATGTTCCGGAAGGTCTGACACTTTTATATATATCTTAAATTAAAGCTTATGTAATATCCTTTAATTTGAAAAAAAAAAATTTGACCTCTGGACTTGTCTTCGTGGTGAAAGTTGACATCAAAGTTAATAAAAAATTACGATTTTTGTAAAATAATTTTTTTTTATATTTTTAACTTAATAATCCTCTAACTTTTTCAAAAATGAACATATCAATATAATTCTTTTTTATATAGATGTTTGATGTCTTTACTTATCATTTGGTATATTTTTTTTGTAAATCTGACACTTAACCTGCCCACAGAACTGATTTAAAATTTAAAACTTTTTCACAAAAAATTTACTTTTTCAACATAACTTTTGAAAATGTTCCGGAAGGTCTGACACTTTTATATATATCTTAAATTAAAGCTAATGTAATATACTTTAATTTGAAAAAAAAAAATTTGACCTCTGGACTTTTCTTCGCGGCGAAAATGGCTACCGAATGCTATTTTCGTGTGATAATTCTCGATTTTATTATTCATATTATATTTAACTTTATAATGCTATAACTTATTGAAAAGTTTATGGATCCACACAATTTTTTTATGAGAAATAATTTTTTTTAATAAACCCTTTTTCATTCGACATACTTTATCTTAATCGAGATATTAAGGAACCAGCAAATCAAGTAGCTTTTGGAATAAAACACCAATTTTTTTTAAATTAAACACTATCTAAAGATTTGCATCGAAGCGTTTATTTTTGATAGTGATTTTAATCACTGTCAGATATCATTATACTTGATCCAACTATACCACGTCACAACTTTGCCGCGACCCCCCTGTGCTGGGTTTTTTTATGATAATAATGTTATTAACACTCAGATATCATCTATAAATGTTCCCACATGTACTAGTGTTTTTTTACTTACAAAAAACAGAATTGTTTGAAATTGTAAATACATCGTTTCTTCCAATTGATAGATCTGAAAAATATATTTATCATTATTGTTATTAATTTAAAAAGTTTAAGAACTGATAAATAAAAAAATATATATCAAGATACCACGACAGACTTTTTTAATGTGAAAACACATTTAGAATGTTTAATATTTTCGTTAGGGAATTAAAAACTTTTGAGTGTTATTTTTGTTATGTAACACTCCATACTCTTTTAGTTTCGATGCAAAGCTGAGAAGGTATTGGTTTTACTATGATGTGTTTTTTTTTTTTTTTTTTGTCTGTTACCACTTTTTCTCAGCTCTCACAGAACGAATTTCTTTTAACGATACATCAAAAGATCACAAATCGTATCTAGTCGAAGACATTACCCTTAAAAATTGAAAAAAATTCACTCGTTCCCCGTAAATGGGGGAAACCTCCAAAAAAATTACAAATTTAAAAATCGCTAATTTTCGAAATTTTTTCAATTTTTTTTATTAAAAACTACCGTAACTTTTTCAAAAATGAACATATCAATATAATTTTTTTTTTATAGAAGCTCGATGTTTTTACTTATTATATGGTATATTTTTTATGTAAATTTGACCCTTTATCTGCCCACAGGGGGGGATTTAAATGACAATTTTTTCACAAAAAATTAACTTTTTCAACTTAACTTTTGAAAGTGTTCCGGAAGGTCTGACACTTTTATATATATCTTAATGCTATAACTTTTTGAAAAAAGTATGGATCAACACAATTTTTTTATGAGAAATAACATTTTTTATAATCCCTTTTTTATTCGACATAATTAATCTTAATCAAGATTAAGAAACTAGCAGATCATATAGCTTTTGGAATAATACTACAATTTTTTAAAATTAAACACTATCTAAAGATTTGCATCAAAGCGTTTTATTTTATAGTGATTTTAATCACTGTCAGATATCATTATACTTGATCCAACTATGCCACGTCACCACTGTGCCGCAACCCCACTGTGCTGGGTTTTTTTTATTCTTTTTTTAAACACGTTATTGTTAGCCACTCAGAAATGAATGTTAAACATTGCTTCAGGGCTGCCACACCGCCTTTAAAAGTAATAATATCATTTTGTGTTTCGGCTCAAATTTAATCAAGAGCTTATCCTTCCAGTTAGCTGGACAACAGAGTGAGATCCATTGCATAAGCTGCTCCATATAGTGTGAATGACTTTGCGGAGGCTTCAATAACTCTCAAAAATATACAAGCAAATAAGCTCTACTAAAGCGCTGACCTAAACCAGCGCCTCAGGTTTGCCTGAGCCAAATGACGCGGTTGACTTTGCTACAGACGTTCGGACGATTCATTGAGGCTAATAACCATTAATGCTAATTCCTGGTTAAGAGATACGCATCCTAGCTTCCTGACATCAGGTTCATCATGGACCTGACTTGAAACGTGAATCCCAGTTGGAACTCCAAAAATCCCACTCCTGGTCTCACATCTCGCACAGAAAGAGAGTACGCAGAGCATTGTCTGATTTTTACGTGCGACCTAAACAGTGATCGCACGTTGGCACGGCTGATTGACAATACTGTTAAGATATTCGGTAAGGTAATAATTCGAAATACCTCCCGCTTCTGCACCCTGATCAAGGTTTCCCAATATTTAGGCAGATACTAAACAATATCCATCAACACCAAAGACTTGTACAGAAGGACCAAGTATACGATGCTGGTTAACAGTATGCACTAAGACTCCTTTTGGTCGCATTAACCAAATGAAATTTATGAAAAAATAGGAGTTAAGAAAATATTGCCATAATGTTTTCTCCAATACGTCTTGACTGAAGGCGAATCAAAATATATACAATGTAAACATTTATGTGAGGTTTTTAAGTAAAAAATAAAAGTCAATGTATAGACGAAAGTTTTGATATATTATTTTTAAAAATGTATTGAATATTTTACTTGTAATATTAATATATTGATAACACAAAAATAATTAAACAGCTTATTTCTTATACTATGTTACTTTAAAAGTTTCAAAACCTCATTACAATATAATAAAATGTTTATACTGACTTTAATATAAATTACTGAAGTTATGAAGCTGACTTATTAGTATTAAACTAGTATTAGTTGAAATAAATCATAAAAATAAAATAAAATTTAAAAAATAGCTATTTCAAAAAATTTGTAAAAAATTAATAGTATTAAAAATTTAGTTTAATTAATTAATGTATAGTTAAATTTTTTAATTTTTATAAAATAAAATAGAATGAAATATAATAGAAGTGCATTATATTTTTACTAGTAAAATAAGGATCACCTTATGAATTGCATGAAAAATGATCTATTTTTTGTACTATGATTTCTGCCGAATCTACAGCATTTCAAGCTCTTTCAGTAATAAAAAAAATGTTATAGTTCTTATTAAAATATTTTTATAGTACACTGAATAATTTAGTTACATGTGGTGGTGCAAAAAAAAAAAAAAATAGAGGTTGTCATGCAACAACATTTGGATGATTTGGCATAGATTGACTCAGTACAAGCTTAGTATTCTAGCTGATGTATCGATTAAATAAGATGTTATTGACTTATTAGATTTTATTTATAATTTTTGCTGCAACAGAAGCCAGAAAAACAATATTTTGATATTTAAAAATTTATAAGTTATATGAAACATGAAAAAATGTTATAAGAGTACAACGAAGTCACAACAATTTTTGTTTTGGTTTCAAGAAAAATATTGTTTAGAGCCCCGCAAAATATATAGCTATGTGCCCCGCAGTACCTACCGAAAAAAATAAACCTGTTTCAAGTAAAATTAAATTTACAGTTTAAGTTATGTGATTCCTCTGTATGACGGAGTAACTTCATATTCACTACTAAATACAATGTACTAAAATACTTGTAACTCAATAATTATTTGCATTAAAATCATGGTGATCAAATATACCCCACAGTTGAACGTATTGGTTAGTGAGTTGTACATTCATGTACCTTTTACCTATATACTTATACCAATGATTATTATTATCCGTGTCAATATTATGTTTCTTTCTTGTAAATTAATATAATAAAATAAACTTCTACCGAGTTAACACAGTGTTGTGGTGATTTATACTATTAATCCCTTATACCATTTTAAAATATTGGGTTTTAATAAAAATGTCTTTTGACGTATTTTTGAAAGAAATCGGTCCAGTGAGAGCTGAGAAAAAGTGGCAACAGACATAAAAAAAAAAAAAAAAACACATCGTAGTAAAATTAATACCTTCTCCGCTTCGCATCGAAGCTAAAATCGTATATAGTTGAAGACATTACCCTTAAAAATTGAAAAAAATTCCCTCGTTCCCCGCAAATGGGGGAAATATCCAAACAAATTACAAATTTAAAAATTGCTAATTTTCGAAATTTTTTCACTATTTTTTCTTAAAACTTCCATAACTTTTTGAAAAATCAACAAATCAACATAATTTTTTTTATACTAAAACCTTAGACATCTACCTTTCATTTGATATCATTTTTTTGAAAATCTATCACTTAACCTGCTCATAAGGGGAGATTTAAAATAGTAACTTTTTTACAAAAATTAACTTTTTCAACTTAATTTTTTAAAATGTTCCGGAAATACTGCGTCCTTTAAACACATATCAAATTAAAGCTTTTTTTATGTACTATAAAATGAAAAAAAAAATTTATCCTGACACTTTTTCTTCTACATTTAAACGGCTGCCGTAGTTAAAAAAACACTATTTTTGTGTTAAAATTTTCGATATTCGATTTTAAATTTTCAACTTAAAAATGCTATAACTTTTTGAAAAATGTATATATCAGCACAAATTTTTTTTTCTAAATATATTATAAGTACATCTTTCATTGGACATACTTTTTATTAAAATTGGACAATTTTCCCTTATATAGGGGACGTTCAAAACTTGAAATGTTGTAAAAAACATAGATCTTTTTCAATTGAACTTTTGAAAATGTTCCAGAAATACTGCGTTCTTTAAACATATATCAAATCAAAGGTTATGTTATATACAATCAAATGAAAAAGAAAAATTTGTCCTGACATCTTATCATCTATGTGCAAATGACTGTCGAAAATTAAAAAAAAAATGTAATGTTTGCGATAAAAATTACCTTTTATCGGGATGTTTTATGTACTTAAAACTGCCATAACTTTTTCAAAAATGAACAAATAAAAATAATATTTTTTTGTATTGAAACCTTAGATATTTTCCTTTCATTTGATATCAATTTGTTGAAAATCTAACACTTAATCCGCTCATTGGGGGAAATTTAAAATTTCAACTTTTTTACAAAAAATAACTTTTTCAACTTAATTTTTTAAAATGTTCAGGAAATACTGCGTCCTTTAAACATATATAAAATTAAAGCTTATTTTATGTACTACAAAATGAAAAAAAAAAATTGTTCCGACGACCTATCTTCTATACTGCCGTATTCAAAAATATGCTATTTTTGTATTAAAATTATGGGTATTGTATTTTATTTTAATAGAAGTTGATGTTGATGTTGATTTTGCAATTATCCATCAATTTTTTAAAATTAAACACTATCTACAGATTTGCATCGAAACGTTTCTTATGATAGTGATTTTAATCACTTTCAGATTAAATCTATACTGGACCTAACTATGTAATGTCTCCAATATGCCGCGACCCCACTGTGCTACCGTTTTTTTTTATTATATACTTCTAATAGTGAGGAAATGTTTTTTGTGACACAAAAACTATTTTTAATACGAATTTATTATTTTTTTCAAAAAATAAAACGTATCAACGATAAGTGAAATTAAAATTTTTTTCTAAAATAAACAAAATATTACTTTGGTGTTCATCAAGAAAATATTTTTTGGCTGTAAAAACAGTTTCCTCTCTTAATCTCTATTAGAGGTATATAATAAAAAACGGGTTCCTTAAAAAAAAGTTTAAATTTGTTCCCATAATGATGAGCAATTTGACATCAAAAATTCACTTTTGGTTATAAAATTCAAGACATTTTTTATTAAAACTCTATATTTAAACACTATAAAATTATTATCAACCTATTAAAACTTTTGTAAGAAAATATCTAAAAACTGATATTTTAATATTCTGAAAAACAAAACTTACATTATTTTTTTTTTGATTAGTAATAAATAATAACAAATATGCTTCAAACAAAGTGATAATTATCTCAAAAGATTTATGCGTAATAAAAAAATATTAATTTTATTATTTTCGAAAACAAATAATAGAAATTATTATTAAACGTAGTCTGAGAATGCATAAATTATAATTAAAAAATCATAGTGAAATGTTAATTGTATCAAAAATTATAAGTATTGTCAGTTAAGTCTGAGACACTCTATATAACATATTTTTATAGCATAATTACCTGAATACACGACTGGACTGAGTATTATATAATTATAGGTATTTAATTTAACAAGTAAAATTAATTCGCTATTTACTATCGTTTTATATATTTTAGTATTTTAAAACAAATTTATTTTTAGAAAATATCAAATATTAAACTTGTATAAACACAATTTTTTAATGGACTTAAATAATTTTTTAATTCTTTTAAAACTAGAATAAAGTTACAATTTATCTTTTAAACATTATTATTATTGCATCATTGATATATTTATCAAATATATATATACTCTTTTTATGTATTATATTTAAAAAAAATCCAGGGTTTAGATTAATTATTATTTTTTCGTTTATCGTTAAAATTGGATTGAAAATTCACTGGCTTAATTAAGGCGTAAAATATTCAGGACAAACCACTTAATTTACATAACCACCAAAACGGGGTTCCCTTATTTAAAACACTTAATAACCAAATAGCTAGGGAATTAAATCTGATTATTTTACAGATTTAAAGTAATACCTATATGTAGGTTCTTAATTAAGTCCAGCCAATCGCATTTAACAATTAATTATGATCTACAGCTTCCAAAATCAAACTAGGGATCGCCACACTAGCCTCATCTGACTATAAAAACCCATTTTTCTTTTTAAAATCAGTTATTTCGGTAATTTCAAAATACACATAATCTACGACACTCTGCTCAAGACTCTTACTCTGTGGGATTTAGATTTTTTAAATTTAATTAGGACTTAAATATTTTTCAATTCAAAAAACTTTGTTTTTTTTTTAAATTTTTTTGAATTTTTCAAATTAAATAGAACTAAGAAAAACGGTAGCACAGTAGGGTCGTGGCATAGTTGGGTCCAGTATAGATGATATCTGACAGTGATTAAAATCACTATCATAAAAAACGCTTCGATGCAAATCTGTAGATAGTGTTTAATTTAAAAAAAACAATTTGTTAAAATAGCATATTTTTGAAAATGGTAGCCATTTGCGCATAGAAGATAGGTCGTCGGGACCAATTTTTTTTTTCATTTTATAGTACATAAAATAAGCTTTAATTTGATATGTGTTTAAAGGACGCAATATTTCCGGAACATTTTAAAAAATTAAGTTGAAAAAGTTAATTTTTGTAAAAAAGTTACTATTTTAAATCCCTCCAGTGAGCAGAATAAGTGTTAGATTTTCAAAAAAAATTATATCAAATGAAAGGGAAATATCTAAGGTTTCAATACAAAAAAATATTATTTTTATTTGTTCATTTTTGAAAAAGTTATGGCAGTTTTAAGTACAAAAAACATNTATTTGTTCATTTTTGAAAAAATTATGGAAGTTTTAAGTACAAAAAACATCCCGATAAAAGGTAATTAACACGCTTATATTAGTTTCACGTGTATGTTGTTTGTAAGTTTGTAACTCCACGCGGCACGTGTTATTATGTCGCGTATCCCGTCGTGTATGACCTTGAGACTATACTGTTGTAACGCATTCGCCCCACCCCGCTCACCACTCGCCACTAACACAATTTTCCTGTATAATTTTATTTTTGGTTTTCGTACCCGTATACGCGTGCGTGTCATTAATTATATATATATATATATATAACATATTTTTATTGTAATTGACACGGCCCCGCGTCGTTTTGTTATACACGATGTCCCACGAGTCGTGCCACCTTTATCAGCCGTCGCTCTATTTTATGAGTATTTGACTGACCAACACCGCGCGTTATACGCCGCGGTGCAAAATCCAGCTAGTGCCGCACAGCCGACGACGTCCCGCCGCTAATGATACCGTAGTCTTCTTCCCATTGTCAAAGTGATGACGTCAACAAACCAATCCGCACTCGCGCACCGTCGTCATTTACGCTGCTAACCTTTTGACGCCCGAGGATCACGCCGGACATCGCGTC